AGATTAGTTCACAGAGAGTGATACGTTCACGTGAAAGATTTCGTTCAGAGCGAAAGATTAGTTCACAGCGAAAGATTAGTTCACAAAGAGTGATACGTTCACGTGTAAGATTAGTTCACAGCGAAAGAGTAGTTCACAGAGAGTGATTTGTTCACAGTGAAAGATTAGTTCACAGCTAAATATTAGATTACAGAGAGTGATTCATTTATAGCGAAAGATTAGTTCATGTTCACAGAGAATGATTCGTTCACAGCAAAAGATTAGTTCACGGCGAAAGATTAGTTCACAGAGAATGATTCGTTCACGGCGAAAGATTAGGTCACAGAGAATGATTAGTTCACGGGGAAAGATTAGTTCACGGCGAAAGATTAGTTCACAGTAAAAGATTAGTTCACAGCCAAAGATTAGTTCACAGCGAAAGATTAGTTCACAAAGAGTGATTCGTTCACAAAGAGTGATTCGTTCACAGCGAAAGATTAATTGACAGATAGTGATTCGTTCATAGCGACAGATTAGTTCAAAGTGAAAGATTAGTTCACAGAGAGTTATTCGCTCATAGCGAAAGATTAGTTCACAGCGAAAGATTAGTTCACAAAGAGTGATTCGTTCACAAAGAGTGATTCGTTCACAAAGAGTGATTCGTTCACAAAGAGTGATTCGTTCACAGCGAAAGATTAATTGACAGATAGTGATTCGTTCATAGCGACAGATTAGTTCAAAGTGAAAGATTAGTTCACAGAGAGTTATTCGCTCATAGCGAAAGATTAGTTCACAGCGAAAGATTAGTTCACAGCGAAGGATTAGTTCACAGAGAGTGATTCGTTCACAACGAAAGATTAGTTCACAGCAAAATATTAGTTAACAGAGAGTGATTCGTTTATAGCGAAAGATTATTTCACAGCGTAATATTAGTTCACAGCGAAGGATTAGTTCACAGAGAGTGATTCGTTCACAACGAAAGATTAGTTCACAGCAAAATATTAGTTAACAGAGAGTGATTCGTTTATAGCGAAAGATTATTTCACAGCGTAATATTAGTTCACAGCGAAGGATTAGTTCACAGAGAGTGATTCGTTCACAACGAAAGATTAGTTCACAGCAAAATATTAGTTAACAGAGAGTGATTCGTTTATAGCGAAAGATTATTTCACAGCGTAATATTAGTTCACAGCGAAGGATTAGTTCACAGAGAGTGATTCGTTCACAA